TAGTAGCTGTATGCATCGGTTAAAATAATGGTAAAATAGTAACAGGTAATCGTGTAACTTTATCAAGATGTCAATCTAAAATAGCTAAAGATTCTGAACAATTATGTTGGAATTTTTGATGTTGTTGAGGTTTTGTTATTTTGATTTCTGCAACCACCGATTTCCAAAACTTAGGCAGTGAAGGAGTGTACTATTCGAATACACTAGTTTTTCAATCCAAACTGATTATACATTATACAGAATAACTGATAATATCAGACCATTAAGCAGTGTTAGGTGACTTGAAAGAATGCCACTTAACTATAAGATCACCGAGAAAAACTGCTTCTTGAAGATACTCAAAAAAAGAATGAGGGCTAAAACAGGAGAATATGTATAAAAACACAGAAGTGAAAAAGTCATGTAAAAAGCTCAATTTAAATTTAAAAAAACTGCATTAATTTTTATAAATTCTTTGATTAAAACAAACTTTTTTTTTGAATTATACTCTAACTTTACGATACTACAGAGCAGGTAAATTCATGAAGTTCATCTGAAAATTATATAAAGAATACAAACTGTAAATTGCTTAAAAAGTGTTTGAACAATTTTCATTTATAATTTATTTTTGCCAATCCCAATATAATCAATAAATAATTTCTAAATTTTTAGCCTTTTTTTTTTGTTTTTTGACTAATATTTGAAAGAAACTGAAAACGAATGATACAAATAATTGTAGTTAAATTCTGTATTCTTACTACTAAACAACAGCTAATGAATATTTTTGTTTTCAGTGCAATATTAGAATGATATTTATTAACAATTCATTTGTGTATTATTTGTCACCAATGATTGCAAAGGAAAAAATTAGTTTTTATGCTAAAAACTAATGTAACAATACCATTTAGCAGTTGTTAAAAAAAGAAAAGCAAAGCAGGTAGTGAAATTTTGTTGCCACTTTTTTTTTTGTTGTTTCCAAAAGAAACGGAAAAGTTGCAGTATATCAGTGCAGATAAGTACATCTGAAAACGGTTCTGCAGCATCACTGACTGGACGAGTATTATTTAAGCAACCGTAAAGCTGTCATTCGTTTCTTCGCCATCGTATTTTTGGAACAATGAACGCCACGGCTGTCGGTTACATATCAGTAGCGCTTTCATTTCTCAGCTTCATTGCCTGCTTCTATTCGTTGCCACTTCTTATTGTCAGAACACAACGTATCAATGACGATATTGTTAACGAAATTGCTGAATTCAGAAGCATGGAAGATCATATCTGGTAAAAATTTTTTTGCACCTGGTACTTTTGATATTGCTTTTTTTGAGCTGTGTTTTGTGTTGCTTGGAAGGGCCAAGTAACTAAAATGTGAACGTGAAAAAGTGTTCAAGAAGGAAATAAATAAAAATCAAACAGACTTTATCTCAATAAGTAAACTTTTTTCTCCTTGTTGAAGCATTTAACGAACACATAAAATAGTCAAGAATGAATTTAGAAGATACTATATTGAAAGTTCACTTCACAAGATTTGTTTTAGGAATCAATACAAAAATAAAATAGTAGTCAACAGAAGTGTTAAAAATCGTAAAACACGTCAAGCTTCTGGACAGTGCACGTGCAACGCTAATTCTCAATGTCCACCAGGCCCTTCTGGTCAACCTGGAGAGCCGGGTCTTGACGGAGAACCAGGTCTACTCTTTTTAAACATTGCTAATATCAGACAGCTGAGCTGTATATGAACTCGCTTGTGTCTTACATATTAATAAACAGAAGAAAACCGGAAAAGTTATGCTCAACTGATTTCTTTGATCAATAACTTGACTGTTATGATTTTTAGGTCTCCCGGGTTCACAAGGAGCTCCAGGACTTCCTGGAAATTTCCCGCCCATCACTTATGACTTTGAACAACAGTGTCGTATATGTCCAGATGGACCGCCTGGTCCACCAGGCCAAGTAGGTCAATCAGGAAACGCAGGAATTGATGGAATACCAGGCCCAGCTGGACCACCTGGAGCAAATGGACATTCAGGAAGTAAAGGCGAAGCGGGACAACCAGGAGTGCCTGGAGCTGATGGCAAACAAGGGGCTTCTGGAGCACCAGGAAATCAGGGAACGATAGGCGGTAAAGGTGAACCAGGAGTACCAGGCCCTGTAGGGCCGCCAGGTCCAATGGGCACTCCAGGATTTCCTGGAAGAGATGCAAAGCCAGGGCCAATGGGTAGTCCTGGTCCGCAAGGAATGCCTGGTCTTTCTGGTTTACCAGGACCAAAAGGTTACAGTGGTTCAGATGGACCACCTGGAAAACCTGGAGAAGACATGTTATATTGTCCATGTCCTAATCGTCGTCGTGTAGAATCTGTCACAACAAAACCATAGTGAATAATATACATTATATACACGAGGTCGTTGGCGATAGGAAAAGTGCTATTATTTGAACTAAAAAGCAGTAATTTTTCTTTGAAATATTACAGAAGAAAAAAAGACAACAATAATAGTAATAGCGGATACGAAGGTTATTAACACTGATACGAAAAGCATTATTCTGTTGAAGTGGAAAAGGAAACCGCAGTTTTTTTTTTTTTTTTTTTTT